CCCCTGGCCAGCTGTTTCTCCGGACCTGTCCCCTATCGAGCATGCTTGGGATGAATGGAGAGACGTTTACGTCAAGCCCAGAATCAGCCATTGACGTTAGCTGAATTAGGACAAGCGTTGGTTCAGACATGGAACAACATTCCCGAGGGTTTCTTCAATCGCTTAGTGTCATCTGTGGTGGACACACACAATACTGAATTTGTGAACTATCTTTTGACACCACATATCTTCAAGGGCGTGTCACGTTACCTAGTATCAAATCATACAGATATTATCCTGTCAACAGTTAAACAGTGATTACGGAAAAACACCAAAACACACGTTATTATCGTTTTGCATTAAAATGGCATAACATCAAATAATGTACAGTTACTTTATTCTAATTGTATATGTCATCGTATCTCAACTGCATAGATGGATGCTGTTGATCACTGGATTGTCTGGTCCAGACTTGATTATATACAGACTGCCGTCATATAGCTGGAATATTGCTGAGTGCGGCGTGAAAACAACAAACAACAACACAAAACGGTTATGTCGTTGCCATAATCTTATACTGTGGCTAGTTACGACTATATACAATTATATTGCCTAATCTGATTTGATTGGCAGCTTGTCGTACAGGTTTACCTTGGCGAATCAATAACCTTTCTATCTCTCTGTATTCTGTATTCTTTTGCGAATGAGAAAAGAGTGTAAAGTTTTATGGGACAGTATTTACGGTTGCTTCTGAGAAAAGTTCTGTGTAATATACTACAGGGAATGTACGGGAGTACTATTTTGAATTGTATCAACATAATGTACCTGAATTAGACTTGATGGAAAAACTATAATTATGTTTTAGTCAGACATTCTGGATAAGTTGCGTCACTGTGGTCGACGACGCCATGGTCTGATCCAGGCATGCTATTATGTGTATAGTCAGGTGTATATTTAACATGGCACATGCGTCACGCTGTAAGTATCATGTCAACTTATACCCTTACAACACAACTATATATGTGTTATATACCCAGGTACCTACTTGTCATATGCATATATACACTATAGTTTCAAAGAGATTGATAAACTTTTTACACTTGAAATGGGTATCCATAAATTGTATTGTCTATTTGACTCTTTCACTGATTGTGAACATACTGTTTAGTTTGACACATAAGTTAAGAATATAATCTGTGTGTCATGTGAAACGGATGTGTACTTTGAAAGGGACATTATTAGCTCCTAGATGTCCCTTGGTCGTTTATTTGTGAACTTTGTACATTCACTGTCCAGGTACATAATCGGTCATAGTATTTGATGTCACAACAAGTTTGGGCATCTTGTTTCATTGGAGTAGTTGTAAGGCATGACGGACTGGTGTAATGTTCTGCCAAGTAAGGGTTATGTTAGACCAAGGTTGGAGAAAGTCCATAGTCATGCAAACTGCAATGGTTTGCAAATTTGATGCACAAGCAGACATATGCCACCAGACCATGGGTCATCACATCGGTCATAGAGAGTCTGAGATTAGAGAATACTACAGGTGCCTAAGGACTGCAACAATACAGATAATAGTACAAACGACCACGTGGTCGACCGGGACGTCCTTGACAACACGATTCTCAGGTAACTCTCTCTTGGTGAATCCCACCTGCACAGCAAATCAGCAAAAACACAACAATACAAATACATAATGATTAATTTTTACTTTACATTCATAAAAACATCATTGAGTTAAACAGGAAATACAGACCGATTACAATAATACAGTATCAAACAGGATATATCGCAATCAGCTGACTGGTCGTTTTCAAACTGTTAAACTGTGTGATCACACATGTAATGAATACCAAACATATCGATAAACCTTCTGAATTACAGAAAAACTCTCTCGGACAGCAGCATGAACTGGTCGTCTTGATGACTGTTCATAAACATATCACATTGTCGCGGATCAAGGATTTTAAGGTTAACATAGCACAGTATGTGCAAAGAATGAGGTGTGGATGTTTGAGGTGCAGCCAGTAGGGGAAGATGGTTTGAGCTAAGGTGCAGCCAGTAGGGGAAGATGGTTTGAGATTAGGTGCAGCCGGTAGGGGAAGATGGTTTGAGCTAAGGTGCAGCCAGTAGGGGAAGATGGTTTGTGCTAAGGTGCAGCCAGTAGGGGAAGATGGTTTGTGCTAAGGTGCAGCCAGTAGGAGAAGATGGTTTGAGCTAAGGTGCAGCCAGTAGGGGAAGATGGTTTGAGCTAAGGTGCAGCCAGTAGGGGAAGATGGTTTGAGCTAAGGTGCAACCAGTAGGGGAAGATGGTTTGAACTTAGGAGCAGCCAGTAGGGGAAGATGGTTTGAGCTAAGGTGCAGCCAGTAGGGGAAGATGGTTTGAGCTAAAGGTGCAGCCAGTAGGGGGAAGATGATTTGAAGAAGGTGCAGCCAGTAGGGGAAGATGGTTTGAGCTAAGGTGCAGCCAGTAGGGAAGATGGTTTGAACTTAGGAGCAGCCAGTAGGGGAAGATGGTTTGAGCTAAGGTGCAGCCAGTAGGGGAAGATGGTTTGTGCTAAGGTGCAGCCAGTAGGGGAAGATGGTTTGAACTTAGGAGCAGCCAGTAGGGGAAGATGGTTTGAGCTAAGGTGCAGCCAGTAGGGGAAGATGGTTTGAGCTAAGGTGCAACCAGTAGGGGAAGATGATTTGAGCTAAGGTGCAGCCAGTAGGGGAAGATGGTTTGAGCTAAGGTGCAGCCAGTAGGGAAGATGGTTTGAGCTAAGGTGCAGCCAGTAGGGGAAGATGGTTTGAGCTAAGGTGCAGCCAGTAGGGAAGATGGTTTGTGCTAAGGTGCAGCCAGTAGGGAAGATGGTTTGAGCTAAGGTGCAGCCAGTAGGGGAAGATGGTTTGTGCTAAGGTGCAGCCAGTAGGGGAAGATGGTTTGAGCTAAGGTGCAGCCAGTAGGGGAAGATGGTTTGAGCTAAGGTGCAGCCAGTAGGGGAAGATGGTTTGAGCTAAGGTGCAGCCAGTAGGGGAAGATGGTTTGAGCTAAGGTGCAACCAGTAGGGGAAGATGGTTTGAGCTAAGGTGCAGCCAGTAGGGGAAGATGGTTTGAGCTAAGGTGCAGCCAGTAGGGGAAGATGGTTTGAGCTAAGGTGCAGCCAGTAGGGGAAGATGGTTTGAGCTAAGGTGCAGCCAGTAGGGGAAGATGGTTTGTGCTAAGGTGCAACCAGTAGGGGAAGATGGTTTGTGCTAAGGTGCAGCCAGTAGGGGAAGATGGTTTGAGGTTAGGTGCACCCGGTAGGGGAAGATGGTTTGAGGTTAGGTGCACCCGGTAGGGGAAGATGGTTTGAGCTAAGGTGCAGCCTGTAGGGGAGGATGGTTTGAGCTAAGGTGCAGCCAGTAGGGGTGGGTGGTTTGAGCTAAGGTGCAGCCAGTAGGGGAAGATGGTTTGAGGTTAGGTGCACCCAGTAGGGGAAGATGATTTGAGCTAAGGTGCAGCCAGTAGGGGAAGATGGTTTGTGCTAAAGTGCAGCCAGTAGGGGTAGATGGTTTGAGGTTAGGTGCAGCCAGTAGGGGAAGATGGTTTGAGGTTCGGTGCACCCGGTAGGGGAAGATGGTTTGAGCTAAGGTGCAGCCTGTAGGGGAGGATGGTTTGAGCTAAGGTGCAGCCAGTAGGGGAAGATGGTTTGAGGTTAGGTGCAGCCAGTGGGGGTAGATGGTTTGAGGTTAGGTGCAGCCAGTAGGGGAAGATGGTTTGAGGTTAGGTGCAGCCAGTAGGGGAAGATGGTTTGAGGTTAGGTGCACCCAGTAGGGGAAGATGGTTTGAGGTTAGGTGCAGCCAGTAGGGGAAGATGGTTTGAGGTTAGGTGCACCCGGTAGAGGAAGATGGTTTGAACTAAGGTGCAGCCAGTAGGGGAAGATGGTTTGAGCCAAGGTGCACCCGGTAGGGGTGGGTGGTTTGTAGCTACAACCGATTAGGGTAGATGGTTTGGGCTAGGTGTAGCCAGTAGGGGTTGAAGGTTTTAGCTAGGTGCAACCAGTAGGATAGATGGTTTGAGTTAGGTGCAACCACTAGCTATAGGGTAGATGGTTTGAGCTAAGTGCAACCAGTAGGATAGATGGTTTGAGCTAGGTGCAACCAGTAGGAAAGATGGTTTGAACTAGGTAGGCAACCAGTTGGGTAGATGGTTTGAACTAGGTAGGCAACCAGTTGGGTAGATGGTTTGAGCTAGGTGCAACCAGTACGATAGATGGTTTGAGCTAGGTGCAACCAGTAGGATAGATGGTTTGAACTAGGTAGGCAACCAGTAGGGAGATGGTTTGAGCTAGGTGCAACCAGTAGGATAGATGGTTTGAGCTAGGTGCAACCAGTAGGATAGATGGTTTTAGCTAGGTGCAACCAGTAGGATAGATGGTTTGAACCAGGTAGGCAACCAGTTGGGTGGATGGTTTGAGCTAGGTGCTACCAGTTGGGCAGATGGTTTGAGCTTACGTAGTCAAGTCAACCAGTTGGGTAGATGGTTTGAGCTAGGTGCAACCAGAAGGGTAGATGGTTTGAGCTAAAGGGCAACCAGTTGGGTAGATGGTTTAAGCTGGATGATGCCAATAAGGGTGGGTGGTAAGGGGATGAAGTACAATGAAGGCGCAACCAGTCGGGTAGATGGTTTGAGCTAGGTGCAACCAGTTGGGTAGATGTTTTGAGCAAGCTGCTGCCAATGTGGGAGGGCGGTGATGGGGTGAGGTACAATGAATGGGTAACTAGTAGGGTTAGATGGTCTGACATAAGGTACCACTGAGAGGGGTACATGCTGATGGTCCGAGTCAGGTACAACTAACTGGGGGGGATACTCTAACAAGAGGTTCAAACATTTGGCGTCGATGTTCCTATTTGAGGAAGAAACATGACCAAGGAGGATCAGTGAATTAGCGTTAAGGTTCTCCGCAAGACGCAAACAATACAGGGCAGGGCATTCGTTGTGATTATATGTGTAAACATAAACGTACAGGAGCTTATATGATTTTAGACACGGCGACGGGATTACGTGTAAATCGCCTGAAGTTGTTCAAGCACGATAGCGTAACAGCACCAAACAAGATCGAGGGGGGGAGGACGTCAAGGAAGCTGTTCAAATCGTCCTCCGATAGTTGAGTAGGGTGGAAGACTGTCAAACACGAACTGATCGGCAGGGTCTTCCAGTGTCTGTAATACAAAACCTTCATACAATAACACTGCTTCATAACGAACAGTATGCAATTCGGTACACGCTTCCTTATTAAAGACGCCGCGAAAAGCTGCAACATGGCTGATGCGGCGTCAAGCAATATTCACTCACCCACTCCTTATTAAAGAAGCGCAACTTGTAGCTGATATGTTACTAGAAGATTTATCATCATCACAAGTGGTGTTCCACTTCTTGACATTACATTTGCAGGATCCTTCAGTGCACAAATGTCAGTCAGCAAATAGGCTGTTCCACTTTACTTTGTCAAACTGACCAGTTGTCATTTATTATGACTATTTAATATGGAAACAGAATCCGTCTTGGGATCAGCAATGTTTTGGATCCATCTGTAGAAGGGTCGGGTTATTTCATTGTTAAATGCTCAGTTCGCCATAACTGGGCAACCGTTGGCCATATATCTATGATGATTGTTGGGATGATTAAATCGGAATCTTAGTGACACGTTCAAACACGGTCCGTTAACTTTATTATTCAGTTTTGAAATTGCAGTAACAACGATGGCAACTATTTACATCTACACAAGGTAACTGTGTCATTTAGTGAGTTCCTTATGCATACAGTACCAGATCTTCCACTTCCATTTTGTTCGACGTTTCCAGAGGACGTTCAAGATCACCTGGGAATGAAATACATAGATGTGAAGCAGGAAGATTGACCAACATGCAAGAGAAACAAAGTAAAATCAAATTTATAAATATTCGGATTGGAACCCGAACCCGAAATAGTGTTCCCTCTTCATATAACACCAACAGACACTGTTGAAGATGAAATAGTTGGTTTAGTTTGCTTAATTCCATATAAAATATGTTTATTCGTTACAACTGGAAGCGTTACGAGCATCGTGATTGTATTAGGCGTACGGGTATTACAACAATCAACAATATTCGACAACGCATAAGGAGTGTACAGCAGAATGGTGACAGATACACCCAGTTATAGTGTAACGCCACACAATGCTCAAGCTGTATGACAGAGGTCTGGACCAGGACACTGTACTTGACTGATATCACGAGCACCTCTCTACTCAAATAGGATACGATGACATGCATCAACCAAGTCAACGAACACGAGAAACCGATAAGCAAGGATCACTTCTAACCCGGATCTTAACCGGTACAGAAAAATATTTGCTGGTCACTGGTATGCGGCTTTTGTGAACTGGCCACGACAGTGGTCAAACTGATTGCATTCGTGCAACGATCACTTGTTTTCAGTGACAGACAGACAAGTCAGACAGTGGACAGGTCCAGGCAGACCACACCGACGTTGCTGCTGGGAACCGTTGTTTTACTGTCATCAGCATCAACTGCCCCGAGAGATACTGACAATCTGGTTATTGTATCCAGACCACAGGGCCACCATTATATCTGAGCCTCTCTGGGTATACGTCTTCATGGATGTCCGAGGCTACAGTCGGCATGTGCCTCTTATAAATGGCAGAACAGGCCTATGTTGTGATGACAGCAGGTTCCAGGTTCAGAGAGAACGTGTGTGTCATCGTCTGGTTATTAAGCTGTGTTTCTTGTGCTCCTTTGAGTGCATTTTCTCAGCTGAACACACGCAGTGAAGAAACTCCTAGATATAATGTAGAGAAGAAAGGCCTGATGGGGACTGTTTTTACCTTGTCCTTTTTTAGGCAGGGAAGGTTGGACAGACGATGGCCGTGCTCTGAAACATGCATACAACCAAATGGAGAGTGACAGTGACGACGTATAATTCTACAGTGTCTCCAGGCACATTAATAAAAATCAGAGCTACAGATACCTTTTTGGGTCATTGAGTTATGTACTCCCTTGTGTTTACTTTGAGTAACCAAATAAATTGTACCTCACTCAAACTCAATTGGGTATTTTGCCATTTTCCATTAAATTTGAAAATATAGTAAAGTTTAAATGTTAATGTTTGTTATTTATATTTGATCTGTAATATGAGAAACGATAAGAAAGACTGCAAGTTGTCAAGTTCATGTGCTGAGATAGAACCTCTCAGTATACTTCAGTTAGTTTATCTATCCACTGGTACGCAAGCTAAGATTTGACATTTTTGTGTGTACGCATGTAAGATCACATTAATAGAGTATTTACAAAAGTTCAAGCAACCTTGTACGCAATAGACTGAATAGAAGTTTTCACATAAATATTTGCGTAATTTTCGCAGATACGCAGCTTATCTGTACCTCTGAAAATAAACACCGTTTGTCCCTTTACGTGTGGACGATATAACCAGACAGTGGCGATCTCAGTTTCGCTTCAACAACCGACCTCTTTATGATTAATAATAGTATTTGATACAAAATACAGTAATATTTATTTATCGACTTTCGACCCCGTGGGTTCTAAACTGTTACTTCATGTGTGGGGGCAGTATGTATGAAGGCTATTAAATTTTGAAAAATGTTGGGGATCATTTTGTGACTATTGAATACTTCCCGAGCCATGTCATTGAAACATATGAAGAAATACCAGCCATTGCTAACATACTGGGAAGTGAGCTGTTATTGTGATCATAAACACTTACGCCATTATACTCTTGGCATTCAGAAAGACAGCAACTCCGACGGCTCCTCCCATCAGTGCACAGAGAGTTGCCAGGGCTATCACCTCTGTGTCCACACCCGGCTGACATGGAGGAGCTGCAGCCAAAGTACATACACTCAAACTCGAGAAATACCGTACGTACACACGTTATTAGTAATGATAATTCTACCACTACTTCTACTGCGATTCCCACCACTACTACTGCACGCTACTACTACTACTACTACTACTACTACTACTACTGCTACTGTTACTGCCGCTGCTGCTACTACTACTGCAGCTACTACCATTACCAACTATGATTATTGTCATTATATTGGTGGCAATGCTATTCATAACAATATAAGGTATTACGCAAGATATAAGGGGTTCGAGAAATGGTATAAACCTGGTGTTGTTGTAGAAGTCGTGGTGGTTTCTGTGGTGGCAGTGGTCGTGGATCCGCAATAATCAAAACTGACGTAGACGGTTGTTGTGTCCACCAAAGCAGTATTGCTGCTGGCTGTGGCTTTCACAACAACAAACTGTCGCAGTTCAGTCATGGCTAAAGTATCGGGGGCCACCAGCAAGGAGACGTCGCCCGTCGATCCGTCGACAGCAAACAACGTACTAGCCTCCGGCAGGGAGAAGGTGCTAGCGCCTACAGTGCTGTCGGCGTCTCCAACTGTCACCTGAGCGACAACGTCGTTTATAGCATTTGAACACTGGACAGCTCCCGAGAATAGTTGCTGTGTGAATTTGGGGCCGTTGTCGTCAGTATCGTTGACTGTGACTCGGATTGTGCCGGTCATCTCTCGGCTTGACGGACCCAGATCTTTCGCACGAACCTTCACGTCGTAATATGCTGACCCTCCTGTGTCGACGTCTGCGTCGAGATTCACCGCAGTCGTGAGCGTTCCCATATCTTTGTCCATTTTGAAGAGATCGGCAACAGCTGTAGACTCAGCTAACAAGTAAACAAGATACAAGTAAACGGCCATGAAGAAAGTGGTAATTACATCAGGTATCCCCTTCACTTATAGAGCAGCGGTCAGGCAGCGTCCCAGAGGCGATCGTCCTACCACCTCTGTCTGAAGGTCATGTTCCTCGTGTCCCTGTTAAAACCATATCCCACCAAAGTGTCTAAGATACTAGCTCGGAATCGTACTATACAAACAGGAATCTAACGATGGCATGGTGCAATCCGCATACATACATTTGCAAAGTGATTATATTTTTAACAAGTATAGCGTTTAACTATTGATTTTATAACAGTTTCGACTAAATGAAAACATCAGCACACCATACCGGAAGTAATAGACATGATGTCGTAAGTGACATCGCCATCGACTCCTTCGTCCTGGTCTGTTGCGCTGAACGTCTGAACAAGTGTTCCCGGGCTATCAGATTCACTGATGCTCACCCCGGGAAACATCCCGGTACCGTCAGGAACGATCGTATCCCACACAGGATCGAACTCGTTATCACCAACAACCTTAAACAGTGAGAAAGTAGTCGTTCCATTGGAAACGGTAAACACACTGTATCCATATTCAGCAAACAAACTAACCGTACGATTTCCACTTGAGTGACCCCTCGCGACAAACTGTTAGCTACTTACTGGAACTGGTGTAGAGTACAGAGCACCAACCTGGATTTGTACAACTGTCACCCCGGTCTTGGCCGTCACCGACCCCGCCGAGTCCACGCACAGGACGGTGATGCTGTAGGACGATGTTGTCTCATAGTCAATGAGACTACCGTCAGCATACATTTCAGACCCAACTAAGGAGAAGATGCCATCAGGGTTGTCGGCAGCAGGAATTGAGAGAGACACATCGCCATTGATACCCGAGTCGTCATCAGTACAAGAGAGCGGGACTAGTTTTGCTGACAAAATGAAACGAATGTTGTCGTTTTTACCTTTTCTTATAAATTGCAAGATTAAAGCACGTGGGTGCCATGACAAGTATAATATACATGTAGTGTCTTTTTACCATAAACAAATAGAGATAAAAGAACGAATATAAACGTTTATCAAATGTTGGGTTGTTCTATATATACGATAAAAAAAGAAACGCATAGGTGTTTTGTATTTTTAAATATCTATTAATTACCTATTATGTTCAAACAATCGTCAAAATATGTAACAAAAGTGTTGTGACGGTGTGTGGTCCTGCGGGTAGAGCTCGGGTCACGAATCAGTTGAAGTTAAACAACGTCAAGCTCGGAGAGTCCTTGGATGTGTGAACGTGGGGTAATAATCATCAGATTGTGATTACAGCGACCAGAGAGCAACTACTCAGATGGATACTAGGCGCTATATAAATGAATTATTATTAACATGATTTTACACAATTTCACATGTAAAATAATAGACTTTACCTGGACATGTTGACTTTGATGATATTTCTTACAAAAATTAAAAAGCCATCGCCAAAACGCAACATGTTGCATGTGAAAATTGTGCAGCAAAGAGCATACAGTGTCCGGATATAAAAAGCCGGATTATTTTCGGAAATCGGCATTCGCTTTTAGTTTAAATCCCAAATCAGTAGGCCACGTCTTGACATCGCTATTGGGAGAATGCAGGCTGGAGAGTACCAATCGTCTGTTGCCATGTGTCTGAATGTTAGTCTGAGCACAATATCACGGCTTGCAGCTCGTTACAACCAAACAGGCACAACAAACGACCATCCCCGTACAGGAAGACCTCGAGTCACCACTGAAGCCCAAAATGGGTACATCCGGGTAATACATCTGCGTGATCGTACTGCCACGTGTGAGAGCCCGTCTCCGTCAACGACAACCCCAAACTCTCCAGGAGCTAGCTGCACGTCTGCAGGAGTGGCGGAGGATTCCCCAGGCAGTTGTACAACGTCTGATCGAGTCTATGACAAGGCGTGTGAGAACTGTTATCCGTGCACGTGCAGGTATTAACACTACCTTGAAAGTTGACGAAACTTGTGAACGGATTATCTAAAATTACCAACTTGATTGTATAGACATTTCCTTCTTCTAAACTAACTGTACTAAAGTCTATTTGTGCATGAGTTACACATGTTAGTGAATACAAATCTTTACAATAGATTTTTGGGTTATGCGTTTCTTGTTTTTAATAGTATACATACAGTAGGCGCTGTTTTCAGTTGTCTGGACAGAATATACACTCTGGGAGAATGCTGGGGTCACGTCATTGATGTCGGTAATGTCGAGTCTGAAGGCGGCTGTGTCGGTGAGGCCAGCTGAATCCGTAACTGTTAGGGACAGGTCATCCAAATAGGCCACTCCCCCATCCCGGTCGATGTTGCTGCTTATGTACAGGTGCCCGGTCGTCTCGTTAATGTCCAGTAAGCTGCTGTGTGAGCCTGACAGGAACATGAAGTTGAGCACGTACACTACTCACAGCTAGGTATGTTTGCGATGTTATATACGTACGCGTCCAATGTAAATCAGTTAATTGATTGTTCGCGTTAATATATATGGGGAAACGTCTGCTTCCTCTACTCCGGGGTGGTGGGGTAGCCCAGTGGTTAAAGCGACCGCTCGTCACGCTGAAGACCCGGGTTCGATTCCCCACATGGGTACAATGTGTGAAGCCCATTTCTGGTGTCCCCCGCCGTGATATTGCTGGAATATTGCTAAAAACGGCGGAAACCTAAACTCACTCCTTCATTCTTCTACTCCGTCTCTTCCTCCTCCTCCTCCTACTTCTCCTCTTCCTCCTCCTCCTCCTCCTCCTACTACTACTACTACTACTACTACTACTACTACTGACTTTAGGCCTCATGATCCATCACCACCACTACAATATTGCTACAAGTATTCCACTACCAGTATACCAACCTGAGATACTGTATGTGAAGGTTTCGGTTGTGTCTGGGTCAGTAACGCTGAACACATCCCCGATGATAACCCCTAGAGGAAGCTCTTCCGACACCGTGACCCCAGCGTACACAGAGAGTACCGGGGGTTCGTCACTGACGTCGGTCACTTGAATGGTCACAAAGTGATCCGTGGTGTGGACGCCATCAGATGCCCTGTTAGTGGCAGAATGACCGTTGCAATTATGTGTGTTTCTGACACATGCGTAAAACAGTGTTGAAGGATAATTACAACTATTAGCTGGAAGTGAAAAGAGTTGTTCAAATATTTAGGTGTACATTTTATTAAATGTAATTTTCATGAAATGTCACATCGGGAAAAAGATATTGGGAATGTATTATGTACTTGGAATTAACATTACATATAAATGTCTGTAATAAATGTGCAGGTGGACAGCCAGACACACACAGAGCTTTATGGATAAAGCCGTATACTTGAGATCCAAATGTACATTTATTGTGGCTATTAAGTTCCTGGTTAAAATTGGGGCTTAATACACAATTTTCATTCGTCACGGCCAAGAACAGACTTACCTTACTTGAACAGAATAGCACTTTTCCGTCTCATAATCAAGTTTACCATTGGTCAGAATGCTCGCCCCTTCGCCCTTGAAGAGGCTTGACCATGTACCGACAACAGTCAATGTGGGAGTGTCACCATCGACGTCGTCTAGCGACAGGTTTAGGACGGTGAAGCCGGGTGTGACGTCCTCTGGAACAGTGGCTATAAACTCAGTGTCAGAGAAAATTGGGGCGTTGTCATTGACCGCGTTGACTGTCACTCTCAGACTTCCTTGGACCTCCAGTGGCGTGGCGTTGCCGTCCTGGGCTTTTACCGCAACGTCGTAGTAGGTCACGCCTCCTGTGGTGGAGTCGGCGTCTAGTAGTGTAGCAATGATGAGGTCTCCGGATTCAGGGTCGAGCCAGAATTTGTCCGATACCGTAGCACCGGTATCTGGAAGATGTAATCGTAATTATTCCGTGGAGCAGGAGTTGGAGGAGAGGTTACGACGTATCAGTTAGAGTTACGACGTATCAAATAGAGTTACGATGTATCAAATAGAGTTACGACGTATCAAATAGAGTTACGATGTATCAAATAGAGTTACGACGTATCAAATAGATATCAAATAGAGTTACGACGTATCAAATAGAGTTACGACGTATCAAATAGATATCAAATAGAGTTACGACGTATCAAATAGAGTTACGATGTGCTTGACGGTTCATCAGTCACGGCAATTGAGAGGTAATATTTGTACCCCGTTGTCTCGAGACTTTATCAAATAGAGTTACGACGTATCAATTAGACTCGTGGTGTGTTATTCTACAAATACCATTGTGATTGTAGAATCGACGAAAGCTCAGTAAAATGTGAAGAGAGACATTTGTACCTGATGTAACCGACACAAGTTCAAAGCCGACTCTCCCATCAGGCCCCTGGTCATCGTCAGAAGCCGCCAAACTCGTCACGGTGTTTCCTACCAAAGCGTCCTCGGACACCGTGACCCCCAGCAGGTTGCCCGCACCGTCCAGGGAAGCACTGCTCCACGTTGGGGTGTGCTCGTTCTTTCCCGTCACCTTAAACATAGAAATGCTATACATGTATATTACATTATTGGACGCTATGGTTCATGCCTCCCGTCCAACATGCATCAACATGAAATCTGAAGGCTGAATTAGCACCTCCGCCATGAGCGTTAAAGCTTAAAATTGTAATTTCTGCAGGAAAACCGACGTTTTGTGATGCTGCTTCGATGAGCGCCACGGATAAAGACGATAGAGGTGCCACTGTGAAAGCTATATTAATTCACGCCTGTGTGAATAGATTGTGTTTAAATTAAACTACCACATCGCATATCTTGGAAAGTCATTTGTGTACATGGAATTTGAAGACCATACAGAGAAGTACACCTTTCATCTGTAGAAGATATACAGATATACACGATTTCACTTGACCGTAACATCAGGTAAAACTTCCACGAATGTTTTTTTGGGGTAAACACATGTATATCTATTATCTTTATTTCAATCAGTTAATTTTTACACAGAGAATGTTTTAACGAAATGAAGTGAACAAAACCGTGCGGCCTGTCTCACCTTGACTATCACCAGAATATGCCCGGTGTTGGCGGGTGTGCTTGACGGTTCGTCAGTCACGGCAACTGAGAGGTAATATTTGTACCCCGTTGTCTCGAGACTTTCGTAGTCGATGTTGTTGGCAGCTCCCCACAACTCCAATCCTTGAAAGCGGAACACCCCATCTGGATCACCCCCTCTGCCACTGTCAAAGTTACCCCGTTTGTCTCCACGTCAGTACAGCTGATGGTGTCCAGTAGTTTGGCGTCGGCTGATGAAAAGACGCACGTTAGAGAGGTTTTTTCTGTTTTCAAAATGAATTCATGAACGCTTTGCTTCAGTTATCTTGGGTAATCTTTTTCAGAATACATGAGACGAAACAGAAACATGCAGGGAATCATAGACAAATGATAACTAGATAATACTAATTAAGAGTTACAAGCCCAACATTCACAGGAAATATCTGCTGTAAATAGAAGTCCGACTACATCATGATCATTGTCCGAATCACTATCACTATTGCATCGGAGATTATTTATTTCACAGATGCTTCATATTTGGAAATTTCCTCCACGTCTCCCATTAACTTTTTTGAAAGCTTTATTAACAGCTGACATGTGGTAATCTTGATCGAACAAATTCTGTGCAGAAGTAATATGTCGCTCTTTGTAATCTGGACAAAACGAGCATACTCGATTATACCTCAAAAGTTATGGCTTGAGTTGTTTAACTCTCTCTGGACATGAATGGAAAGTTGCCTCTTGGAAAGTTGAAGCCAGCACTTTTTGCCATACAACCTTAGGGGCCGTACATAACTATATGCCCAAACAAAGTGCATGTCATGTACAAACTTTGCATGTCAAATGTGAAGTGACTCCCCCACCGCCATGTCTATGTACAAACTATGCCCTGCATGTCATGTGATGCCCCGTACATGTACAAACTATGGAGCATGTCATGTACAATCTAGTGCCCCTGCATGTCATGTGAATGTGCCCCTGCCATGTACACTATGCCCCTGCATGTCATCATGTACAAACTAAGTGTGCATGTCATGTATACAAACTAAGTGCCCCTTGCATGTCATGTAAAACTCCCCTGCATGTACAAACTAATGTGCCCCCCTGCATGTCATGTACAAACTAAGTGCCCCTGCATGTCATGTACAAACTAAGTGCCCCTGCATGTCATGTGTATGTACAAACTAAGTGCCCCCTGCATGTCATGTACAAAACTAAAGTGCCCCACATGTCATGCATGTCATGTACAAACTAAGTGCCCCCCCTGCATGTCATGTACAAGGATCAATTATTCCCCTTCCCATGGCATGTAAGCATGCTCCCCTGCAATTTTTAAATATGTTTCAGGTGCATCCCTACCTTCCCAGAACAGGCTCCCCTGGTTGAACTCTCTCTCAAACTAAGTGCCTCTGCTCTCCTAGCCATAAACCCAGCCCCTATGAACGGTTCCTAAGGACATGTTTTATCATCTCTGTATCTTTATGCATAGATCCCCTAAATAATAAACGTGTACAGTGACATGTACTCACTTGATTCCCTCTATTTCAAGTTTGGATGAACAGAATGGGTGAACTCTCGCTCTCTCCTATTAATTCCTAAGGGGACAGTTTTATGGAAGAAAAATTGGCTGGAAGAAAATTTTGATTGCTATTGAATAATATCAGGTGATCTATATACCTGAAGAGTAAGTGAAACGTCTTGTCCAGATTATCTTGTTTTGTTTTTTCCATCCCGAGCAAAGGTTCTGACTCGTATGCATAAAGAAACAGGGAGACAGATCCGGGCGGAGGATAGCACATGTTCATGAGGATGTCGATTTCTTGTCTAAATTTTTTACCCTAAAACTTTACGTACATTTTGCCAATGGCGGTCCATTATTATTTCCTCAGTAAACTCTGAGATTTGATTTCATTTCTGACATATTGTTAAGAAGCACTGAAGCGAAAATTTAACTACATCTATACTCACTACGTCTATTCACAAATGCCCGTCGATCAAGGGATTCCCAAAGTTTGTCAGTTTGTGGGGTAGTGGTGTACAAAGTTCAAAGTAAAAAAATCAAACGTTTGGACAGAACAGAATTCTGAGGAAACTCCGTTTCTGAGATTGTAACAAATCAGGCAAATTCTTGAGAATCTGGTGTTATTTCCACTTGCATAGAAATATATAGAGAAAGTCCTTCCTTGATAGCAGTGTGCGAAATAACCACTGGCCCGCTAGCACATGGCTAGTAAAACTCCAGCCGGGCTAGAAAATCTTCACAGTTACTGGCCTGACTGGCTAGTGAATTTTCATGGGGTCATTTGTAAATAAATCACTCTCCGAAGTTATAATACACTTGTAAATCACCCAAGATTATGGCCTGATAGAAATGTTTGTCATATTAGCAGCTTAATGATGAAATATGACAATATCTTATTCTTATTTAATTTTGTAATCTTTTGCTTAGTTTCTACATTCATATTTCGGGCAAGTGAATTATTTTGTTGAATAGTAAAAGATTGGCTAGCAAGATTTGGAAACTATTTCGCACACTGCTTGATAGTGTTAGGGAATATTGTTAATCTATTAGAGAGCGGTGTGACCAACTCTTTATACGGATTGTAATGGAGCCTTGGGACACAGTACAAACAGTGAATGTCTTCAGGTATTAAAGTCAAGCCAAAGGATGTCTTGAATGTACATACCGGTTTTATATATATGTGGTACTATTTATATGTCACTTACACCACGTTCTTTGATCCAACAATGGTTCTGATGCAACATATAAATTAAATGGCTCTGTTATTTGAGGCTTTGTCAGAGGAAACAACTACAAACATTTCATGAAGGGCAGCCAGTGTTTTCGTCCCACGTGCCTTGGACAGAATGAGTTTCTTCAGTCTAATTTTGTCCCTCACATTGAAACAAGCCGAGCATGCGCGACCAGTGGTGATTCTTACAGACCAATACATGGCATGATGACGAGGCATATGTTCGCATATTTAGATCCAACGAAACTCAATCTACTGCCTTCTCAAGAATATTACCAAAATACACATTAATGTGTGGTATTCAGTGTAATATCCATGAACACAGTTATTTCATGCAGCTGGTAGTCCTGCCATACCTCCCGATGCCTCCTCCAGCTCCAGTTCATACACCTCCTTGTCACACGATGGGGTGTTGTCATTCACGTCGATTACCGTTATGGTAAGCGACTCCGTCACGGCGTTGCCTCCCGCATCTGTCGCAGTCAGATCAATACTCAAGCTGGAAGTACCAGCCTCAAGGTCTACACGCTGAGCAACTTGAAGATCTCCGCCGTCGCTTATACTGAAGTAGCTTGCATCTGTACCTGTGAATGTCATTATGAGTAAAGTGTCATATTGTGGCCCAAACAGCAAGTACGAGTTGAAGCCGCTACTACAAAAACATGTACCAAATATCTCTCTTATTATGGCTGCTATCATTACAGTTGTGAAAATGGCACTTCAATCTCTTTATCTGGCGACATGAACGCTGGGAAGAATCAAGAAAACCTCGAGGGTGTGTTCCTATGGCGTACAGATAAATAGAAGCGACAAAACCCTTTCTGTATTCATAACAGATCTCTGCAGAGTAAACTGTACAACACTGACTACACCATGTTATAACAGATCTCTGCAGAGTAAACTGTACAACACTGACTACATCATGTCACAACAACTGTACAACACTGACTACATCATGTTATAACAGATCTCTGCAGAGTAAACTGTACAACACTGACTACATCATGTTATAACAGATCTCTGCAGAGTAAACTGAACAACACTGACTACATCATGTTATAACAGATCTCTGCAGAGTAAACTGTACAACACTGACTCCATCATGTTAAAACAGATCTCTGCAGAGTAAACTGTACAACACTGACTACATCATGTCATAACAGATCTCTGCAGAGTAAACTGTACAACACTGACTACATCATCTCATAACAGATCTCTGCAGAGTAAACTGTACAACACTGACTACATCATGTCACAACAACTGTACAACACTGACTACATCATGTTATAACAGATCTCTGCAGAGTAAACTGTACAACACTGACTACATCATGTTATAACAGATCTCTGCAGAGTAAACTGAACAACACTGACTACATCATGTTATAACAGATCTCTGCAGAGTAAACTGTACAACACTGACTACATCATGTTATAACATATCCCTGCAGAGTAAACTGTACAACACTGACTACATCATGTCATAACAGATCTCTGCAGAGTAAACTGTACAACACTGACTACATCATGTTATAACAGATCTCTGCAGAGTAAACTGTACAACACTGACTACATCATGTTATAACAGATCTCTGCAGAGTAAACTGTACAACACTGACTACATCATGTTATAACAGATCTCTGCAGAGTAAACTGTACAACACTGACTACATCATGTTATAACAGATCTCTGCAGAGTAAACTGTACAACACTGACTACATCATGTTATAACAGATCCTGCAGAGTAAACTGTACAACACTGACTACATCATGTTATAACAGATCTCTGCAGAGTAAACTGTACAACACTGACTACATCATGTTATAACAGATCTCTGCAGAGTAAACTGTACAACACTGACTACATCATGTTATAACAGATCTCTGCAGAGTAAACTGTACAACACTGACTACATCATGTTATAACAGATCTCTGCAGAGTAAACTGTACAACACTGACTGTTACATCATGTTATAACAGATCTCTGCAGAGTAAACTGTACAACACTGACTACATCATGTTATAACAGATCTCTGCAGAGTAAACTGTACAACACTGACTACATCATGTCATAACAGATCTCTGCAGAGTAAACTGTACAACACTGACCATATCATGTTATAACAGATCTCTGCAGAGTAAACTGAACAACACTGACTACATCATGTTATAACATATCCAACGCTGCAGAGTAAACTGCAGAGTAAACTGTACTAACACTGACTACATCATGTTATAACAGATCTCTGCAGAGTAAACTGAACAACACTGACTACATCATGTCATAACATATCCCTGCAGAGTAAACTGTACAACACTGACTACATCATGTCATAACAGATCTCTGCAGAGTAAACTGTACAACACTGACTACATCATGTCATAACAGATCTCTGCAGAGTAAACTGTACAACACTGACTACATCATGTCATAACAGATCTCTGCAGAGTAAACTGTACAACACTGACTACATCATGTCATAACAGATCTCTGCAGAGTAAACTGTACAACACTGACTACATCATGTCATAACAGATCTCTGCAGAGTAAACTGTACAACACTGACTACATCATCTCATAACAGATCTCTGCAGAGTAAACTGTACAACACTGACTACATCATGTTATAACAGATCTCTGCAGAGTAAACTGTACAAAACTGACTACATCATGCCATGTATTTGTCTCAGCTGTATTACATCTGTACAATGTTGTTTGTAGACAATCGTGTCTGGACCAGACAATCCAGTGATTGTTACCTTGCGATACTATGACAGAGCATGTGTTTATGAATCTCTATGAAATCTTGGCAAACAGGGCAGACTCTGTTGTAGATTGTACCTCGAAATTGAAATGCAAACACCAAAGAAGCATGTATACTTTTACATCGGTAATTCTTTAATCACGAGTATGACACTGACAGAGTGTAGCAACGCTACTGCATGTATCAAGTTGTGTGTAAACTTGCAAGGTTTAGTTCTTGATGCACACCTAAGCCACGAAGGCATAACGACCAGGGTGTAAAAGATGTGAAATCAAGGTTAGAAAGTTCCATGTCTCCATAGTCCCCAAACATTACCACACACATCTGAGGTGATTCCTGTCTTACCTATACTTCATACTACTCTAGAAAGTAAATATCGGCATTTGTAGCCTACATTTGCAGCAGGATCAGCGACAATTACACCCACCACTGTGAGAATACGTTACTGTATCGCCAACGTCAGGATCAATGGTGGTGTACAGGCCATGCAGCACCGTCCCCACTGCCGTCTCCTCCATCATGCTCGGACTGCTTATCGCCCTGATGGTGGGGGGTTCGTCGTTCACGTTGCTCACTTTGATCGTCACATAAATATTGTTGCTGAAGGTACCGTCACTGGCGCTGAAAGAGTTTTTCGTATTCAGTAGAAGGTAACTCTGTTATCACAACCTGCACAAATATATTGTGATACAATAAGACTGTTATGATTTATGTAACTGCAGTACCTTATGTCCAGAGAGTAGCATGTCCTAGTTTCGAAGTCCAGAGTACCAAGAACGACGATGTTGTTACCATCAATGCCAAACACAGTATTGTCCCCTCCGTCTGCTGATATTGTTACGCTGTCACCGTCTGGGTCCGTAACCGTCAATTCAACTACGACGTCATTCAGACTAGCGTTTTCGTCGACAAACACCTCGTTGTCAACGTTAATGAAAACAGGAGCATTGTCATTGGCACCACCAAGTAGTATTTTTTGTGTAGCTTGGGTTTCGAGGGGCGTGGCACCACTGTCCACGGCTTTGACCACCACGCTGTAGTAGGCCACACCGCCTGTGTCGGAATCGGCGTCCAGAGATTCTGACAGAATGAGAGTCCCACTGTCTCCATCGATCGTGAAGATGTTCGGTTCGCTAGCTCCAGTATCTGGAAACAGATATGTGTCTGGGTGACTGAGTGCAAGCTGTTTTACCCTAACGACAGCACTATACATACAAACAAGAACGACGATTCATGTGGAGAGGATTCAGAATGACCTGTGACAGACACGGGGAATAGCCAGTGTACCGAGGTAACGTACTCTGTAACGAACAGGCAAGGGAGGTTATGATGGAAAACACAAACAATGCATATTTAATGCTCAATGAAGTATCGAAGGTACAATACTGCATGGGCCATAAATATTCCAACTCAAATATATCAAAGGGCCACTGATCCAGAGCGATTAATGTTTCCAGCCAACAGTCTAATTACGAAACCTAGCTGCAAACTGGTCAGCCCCTGCTCCCTCGACCGTGACGGACACGGGGACTTGGCTACTGTCCACCTTGGCAGAATTTCTTCAACCTAATCAGTGGGACATTAGGAAGGGTGGATGCCCATCAGATGCCGTTATTTGAAAATATCCCCGGTAGTTCTTGTCTGATTGTAATAAAGTATCCCAGCAGTGTAGGCTTTTGCAGGTTTTCAAATGTTTCGATGTTATAGTGATTGATCCTATTTCTGTGTTTTTTACCTCGATACTTAATCCTTTAAAAATATGATGTCTATTACGTATGCTATGATATAAATAAACACATATTTGATATATTTGAATCCATAAACTAAACAACCCCACTTTGCCATTGCTAACAAAATCTGAAATTTACTTAGGTACATGGGTATTTACAGTTTTGAACTAAGTACACAGCAAATGCTTATATATATTTCTTATGTAAGAATGAAGTTCCGTTTGTATCCTCAAAATAGCCCATAAGTTTTTTTTTTCAGGCAATCAAGCTTACATGAAATACAGCGATTACTACTCTCTTGCTGTAACCCTTGTTTGGTGGTAAACCTGCACATGTTTTTTGTCATCATTCACTTGATGGTCAGTTAATGAATTTATAACAGGTATAATACTCATCATTATAAATTGAGGTCTGATGTGGCAAATGTATTACATGTTATGTAATATGCGCATGGAAGTGCAGTAAGAGGAATTATCAGCTGAGTTACAAAACAAACATCGATCAAAGGATTAACCGATGACACGCTGATTGATTAATTGCTTTTATCCTGCACAGCGGATTTGTCAAAAGTTAGTGTTTATGTATGTAGATTTACTAATCTATACTGAATACACCCTGTCGTAAAGTCTCGTTGTAAAAACGTCCCTCCTTCAAAGGATTAACCGCCAATGATTGATTGCTCATTATTGGCTAACTAAATTACTTTTTTAAAGAATGGCGGACATCATGCAATTAGTTGCCAGGTGTGCTATCTTGGAGTGAGTTAAGTTTTACGCCGCTTTTAACAATATTCCAACTATATCACGGCGGGGGGACACCAGAAATGGGCTTCACACATTGTACCCATGTGAGGAATGACGAACTAACGCTTTAACCACTAGGTTACCCCACCGCCCGTGCTATCTTGGGTGACCAATGGGACTATACACCAATGTGAAAAACGGGAAACGATAGATCACTTTTTCGCATTTTAGATTGTTAAAAGACACATGACATGGAACAGGATACTTTGTCAGCTGCAGATAAATGGCATCTCATTCCTTTATGTGGATATTGATGGATACATTCCCCGAACAAGGTAATAGCCTGATATTGATGCTATAACTTTAGTCTGTTTTAATTTTAATATTTGCATTTTGTTTTTATTTATTTGTTATGGCATTCAACAGAATCATTTTTTTTCCCGTGAAGTGTAATGTGACAGACAACATACACTAGGTCGCACTTAGGGCGTGTGTGTGATATGATACACGCTGGCAATCTATAAGATGTCTAGATATTACAGTCATGTTATAAATTCACTTAGTATAAGCAGATCGTGTGCATTTATTAAGTTTCAAAATGCATACAAATATGATAATAAACTAATTAGGATTATAAGACAAAATATAAAGACGTACATTGACTTCGTTATTTCAGTCCTAACATTTTTAACCACTGGCAGATGGTTAAACTTAAAATGTTTTCATTTGTTATCAAAATAATGCCATTTAATACAACATTCAGATTGACTAGTAGTGAACCCAAGCTCACTACTCTCCCCAAGACTCCCCATGTACTTACTTAGCCTTACTTTCAAAACAATGCTATTATATCAGGCTTCTCACCAAATTCAAGGTCAAACTATTTGTAAATCAAATTCTGCATCCATTTAGGTTAACATTTTTATAAAGTCAACATTACTATGAAATCAAAATTTTACATCAAAGTCAGCATTTTTATCAAAGGGAATATTTTTTTTTCAGAAACCAAATTAGTCATCAAAGTCTACATAATTTTACAACAAAATCAACATTAAAGTCAATAACGGTGGGAATTTTCCTCTCTGTAATGGTAAAATAACTGAGTGGCTTTTGTCCTAGGTGGCATTTGTCCTAGGTGGCATTTGTCCAAGGTGGCATTTGTCCGTGTGGCTTTTGTCCGTGTGGCATTTGTCAGGGTGGCATTTGTCAGGGTGGTTTTTGTCAGGGTGGCTTTTGTCCTGCTCCCCAATTGCGCATGAGGGTGGTGCAGCAGAGGTAACGAACCAGTCATGAATTCTGGGATATCATCCGGGTACTCACTGGAGAAAAACAACAAAAGCAATAACCAGTCCACGGAAATTGCTCTGGATCAGTGGCCCTTTAACTAACAGTCTGTTCCAAAATCATTATTCTATGTTGAAAGGAGACAAAATGAAGCGAATGAAGGACGGTGGTTTTACATTGATAAATATAACGTGAATGGTGTTACTTATTAAAGGGCGATGACGTCTTTATCGTATCACACACAATACATGGTAGGGAGAAAAGATCACAAGCTTATGGATTAGACTTTAGGTGGACATTACAAAAAATAGGGTCAAGCCCCAGGCCGTGTAAGAAGTTTAGTGATGCAAATGAAATGAGCTGGATAAGTGGGTTAACTGATAATTTGCGGGTAGAATACTTCTATCCATATGTATATGCCAGTTCAACGATGACTACTTGGTACAGCCATGCAAAGTAAAGTTGTTTCAGCATATATCAAATGTTGTAATTTCCGTCAGGTTCGTCTGAATGCAATGTATTTCATTCCAACCTGATGTAACTGAGACGATCTCATAGTGTACTTCCCCGTCGTTGCCGTGGTCGTCATCTGAAGCTGCGTAGGTGATGATAATTGTCCCAGGTGCGGTATCCTCAGACACTGTCTCCTCTGGAAAGTTTGCCGAGCTATCTGGTACTGGTGATGTGAAGTGAGGGGCAAATTCATTTTTACCCGTTATCTGAAGAGCAGAAGACCACATAGCACAGGTAAATGTATAAATAACGACGTACGAGTAAACCTATCTGACTTATCAATGCAATCACTGGGCCCATTTGCACAACGAAGGTTTTTGTCGTACTCGAGTCTTTGGTTCTCGATCTTTCAAACATGCCGCAGCTAGAGTGCGGAGACTCCTCAACACTGCAGCCTTCTGCATTACCCAGAGTGTCTGGCTGTGCTACCGGTGGAGCGCCCGGGCACTCTCCTGATCTGCGTCAAGAGACCAGGATGTACCAAACCAAGGGCACCGAGAACATTGGGGATCCTGACAACAGTGTACGTGTTACTAGTATTATGATGTTACAGATTCTTCGACAAGGCTGCAATACTCGTCTCGTTTCTTCAACGCCAAGAGGATAACCCAGGACAGGCGCAGCATAAGTATTTGTGGCTGTGAGGTTTGAACGACCTTACAGCGCTCCAGATTTAGTCTGAAACCATCAGTCTACTTTTGTATTCTGACCTAAGTTCGTGGTTTATATGTGCATTCTGGAATTTAGATGGACTTATATGGTGAGGTGAGGTGAGGTGAAATTGGGTTTAACGTCGTGCTTGAGAATATTTCGCTCATATGACGATGTGCATGCGTGCGTATGTGTATGTGCGGCTGCTTGTACTAGCCCAGACTGAAGCTGGTTTTATAGTGCTAGCCCACTGAGATACCATGCCGCAGTAAAGCATGAATTCCCCACTCAGACACATTATACTGACTCCGAGCCGACCAGTCCTTGTTGTACCAATTAATGCCGAGCGCCAGGCAGGGACCAACAAGTACCATATTTTAACATCTTTTGGTATGACGCGGTCGGGGATCGAACCCGCGACCTTCCGCTCTCCGGGTGGACGCTCTAACCACTGCACCACGGAGGCGGTTTGGACTTATATGGGCCCTCCTCGTTTAGTACTGATGGTAAATAACTTCTCCCGCAGGTAAGTTGACGGATCTCCATATTCTATCTTGCTACGTCTCTGATGAAGAATATTACATTTGTCGAGCCCGAAGGTCTTGCAATATTGTTATGTTTGCATTAGATCTAGCCAACAGTATTTTTGCCACTGGAATTTCTTGTGAAGAAATAACCTTTATATTACCCTTGCATGTTTTATAAAGGGGCCTTATATGGAATAAGCCCCTAATCTTACGACTCCTTTTTGCGAAAGATACCAGCACAAACATAAGGATACCGCCACCGTTGCAAAGTGCCATCTCTCTGATCAGCCAATTCGGTTTACTCTCATTCTGTCTACTTCTCATTCTGCCTACAGACATGATAAAAGTGTAGGCAGAATGACAAAAATCAGACCACCCCTAATTTATAAATGGACTTGCCCATGACAATAACATAACACAATCTTGATTGTATTCATATTTTATTTATAGTAGAAGCTCAAGTCGGTCTGGATGGTAGATGGATCTAGATCGGAACCTGTTACAGTATAGAGAACATTCTTCAGTTGCTGGGACAGCTCGATGTAGGTCAATCTTTGTCCATTAGGCATTAGGGCAAACGCATCGGGGAACATGGTGGAACCAGAGAGACAGTGAACAGCATACAGCTGGTTCCAAAGGCTTGGACAGGAACAGAATGTACCATCCATGAATAGGGTGTCGGCACTCTGCATAGTCTCCATCATGTCTTCTGTGGAGAACACCAGGATTCTGTCGTCAACACCATCGTCTATGGCGAGGAATTGACTTCCGTCACTGGTCTCAGCCCACTGGTCTTCTATGCACACATCAGCTAGGGTCTTCCGGAGTGGTGGACGATTCTTTCGGCGGTGTCGGTAGAGAACAGCATCAATGCTAGCAAAGGAGGGTGTTGTGGCAGCTTCATCGACGGTCAAGGTTCTCATCTCATCTTCGAAGATCTGTTGAATTGGTGTGCCTTCTTTCCTGGCACGGCTCCTCAAGGTACTCATCAGTCGCAGAGTAGTCGGATTTTCTATAACACCATGGTTATATGGCGATGAAGAAACTCATCAACAGTGCTTATCTTTCCACGGCAGTTGGCAAAGACACACTTCTAGTGAGTCACAGTCTGTCTGTGGTTATTCAGGCGATACCTGAACCCTTCCTCCAGCCTTGGAAGTGATAAACTCAGCTCTCTGTAAACCAGCCATAACAGCAATGGTACAGATAACTAAACTCAGTTTATGTATCATGCCCACGTTGTAGGTAATTTGAATGCAGAAAAGGATTTAGCAAGAAACCAGTCTGGTCATTATGTTTATAAAGACAATCTTCCATCCATGGGCTCTGCCTGTGCTGGTATCACAATGTTGAAAATGTTTCCAAATTGAATGAGCCATACTTTCCTTGAGAAGTAACTGTTATTATTTATTGATGCTGAATTAAACACATAACTTGTATTTTATTTGAGATACGTTGCTGTAATAAGCGATTAAATTGAAAATCCTCGGAAAGGGCGGTGTTCCATCTGAGCCAAACGAAGGCAGCCTAACGACACCACATTTTATTATATTGGATACATTATTATATTGGATACCGTACATTAGTACATTGGATACGTGCATCAGTATATTGGATAAGGTACATCAGTATCTTGGATACCGTACATTAACATATTAGATACCGCACATTAGTGTATTCGATACCGTACATTGATATATTAGATACCTTAATTAGTATATTGGATACCGTACAGTAGTTTATTGGACACCGTACATTAGTATATTGGATACCGTACATCAGTATATTGGATACCGTTCATTAGTTTAGTTGATACCGTACAGTAGTTTATTGGACACCGTACATCAGTATACTGGATACCGTACATCAGTATATTGGATACCGTTCATTAGTTTAGTTGGACACCGTACATCAGTATACTGGATACCGTACATCAGTATATTGGACACCGTACATTAGTATATTGGACACCGTACATCAGTATATTGGATACCGTACATTGGTATATTGGACAGCGTACATTAGTGTATTGGACACCGTACATTAGTATACTGGATACCGTACATTAGTATATTGGACACCGTACATTAGTATATTGGATACCGTACATCAGTATATTGGTTACCGTACATTAGTATATTGGACAGCGTACATTAGTGTATTGGACACCGTACATTAGTATATTGGATACCGTACAGTAGTTTATTGGATACCGTACATTAGAATATTGGATACCGTATATCAGTATATTGGATACCGTACATTAGTATATTTGATACCGTACATTAGTATATTGGATACCGTACATTAGTTGAGTTGATACCGTACAGTAGTTTACTGGATACCGTTCATCAATTTAGTTGATACCTTACAGTAGTTTATTGGACACCGTACATCAGTATACTGGATACCGTACATTAGTATATTGGATACCGTACATCAGTATATTGGATACCGTACAGTAGTTTATTGGACACCGTACATCAGTATATTGGAAACCGTACATCAGTATTTTGGATACCGTACAGTAGTATATTTGATACCGTACATTAGTATATTGGATACCGTACATTAGTATATTGGATACTGTACATCAGTATATTGGATACCGTACATTAGTATATTGGATACCGTACATTAGTATATTGGAAACCGTACAGTAGTTTATTGGATACCGTACATTAGTATATTGGATACCGTTCTTTAGTTTAGTTGATACCGTACATTAGTATATTGGATACCGTACATTAGTATATTGGATACCATACATTAGTATATTGGATACCGTACATCAGTATACTGGATACCGTACATTAGTATATTGGATACCGTACATCAGTATATTGGATACCGTACAAAAGTATATTGCATACCATACATTAGTATATTGGATACCGGACATCAGTATATTGGATACCGTACATCAGTATTTTGGATATCGTACAGTAGTATATTTGATACCGTACATTAGTATATTGGATACCATACATTAGTATATTTGTAGTATATTGGATACCGTACATCAGTATATTGGACACCGTACATTAGTATATTGGATACCGTACATCAGTATATTGGACACCGTACATTAGTATATTGGATACCGTACATTAGTATATTGGATACCGTACATCAGTATATTGGACACCGTTCATTAGTATATTGGACACCGTACATTAGTATATTGGATACCGTACATTAGTATATTGGATACCGGACATTAGTATATTGGACACCGTTCATTAGTATATTGGATACCGTACATTAGTATATTGGATACCGTACATTAGTATATTGATACCGGACATCAGTATAATGGATACTGTACATCAGTATTTTGGATACCGTACAGTAGTATATTTGATACCGTACATAAGTATATTGGATACCATACATTAGTATATTGGCAGTATATTGGATACCGTACATCAGTTTATTGGATACCGTACATTAGTATTTTGGATACCGTATATCAGTATATTGGATACCGTACATCAGTATATTGGACACCGTACATTAGTATATTGGATACCGGACATCAGTATATTGGACACCGTACATTAGTATATTTGATACCGTACATTAGTATATTGGATACCATACATTAGAATATATTGGTAGTATATTGGATACCGTTCATTAGTTTAGTTGATACCGTACATTAGTATATTGGATACCGTACATAAGTATATTGGATACCGTACATCAGTATACTGGATACCGTACATTAGTATATTGGACACCGTACATTAGTATATTGGATACCGTAAATTAGTATATTACATACCATACATTAGTATATTGGATACCGGACATCAGTATATTGGATACCGTACATCAGTATTTTGGATACCGTACAGTAGTATATTTGATACCGTACATTAGTATATTGGATACCATACATTAGTATATTGGTAGTATATTGGATACCGTACATCAGTATATCGGATACCGTACATTAGTATATTGGATACCCTACATCAGTATATTGGACACCGTTCATTAGTATATTGGACACCGTACATTAGTATATTGGATACCGTACATTAGTATATTGGATACCGGACATCAGTATATTGGATACCGTACATCAGTATTTTGGATACCGTACAGTAGTATATTTGATACCGTACATTAGTATATTGGATACCGTACATTAGTATATTGGTAGTATATTGGATACCGTACATCAGTTTATTGGGTACCGTACATTAGTATATTGGATACCGTACATCAGTATATTGGATACCGTACATCAGTATATTGGACACCGTACATTAGTATATTGGATACCGGACATCAGTATATTGGACACCGTACATTAGTATATTGGATACCGTACATCAGTATATTGGATACCGTACATTAGTATATTGGATACCGTACAAGCATGGATTGGACTAGGAAAGCAGTCGGTATTAACTTCACAGGTTGGGGAATACGCATTAGACTGATACACATGTAAAGATTCTGACACAATACCGACTTTTTAAATGAGGCTATAACATGATTTAAAGCATCCGTTACATGTCATTGATGGAATAAAAACTGTTGGTCAAGACGTCATTTTTCTTTCAAGAAATCGTCCTTCTGGAAGAAGAAACGCTGTTTCATACACAAAACCTACCAAATATACTTGCCTCTACTATCACGATAAAAACCCCACTGTTGCGGTTCCCCTCGTCAGGCGAGTCCATGGCCTCCACCACTAGAGTGTACTTGTACCCCACTGTGTCCAGGCCCTCATAGTCCAGCTGGTCAGGCGACCCCCACAGTTCTTGACCCTCGTACCGAAATACATTATCATCATTTCCAGACGTGATGTTCAGAACTACGACGGCGTTGTTACCAAGGTCTTTGTCGGTGCATACCAGCGTATTATCAATCATTTTGTTGCCTAGATCGGAAGAATTAGTACAATTGATAATGTTTGTGGAGTTATAATTATTCCTATTGGACATAGTCAGTCGCTGTTTAATCCAAACAAAGACAGTTTGTATTCATGGTATTAACGACAGCTTAACATAAAGAACTGATGCGCATTAATGTTATTTTGCCTTTAGGGAACGTGTCCTTTTCACGACTACATTCAAAAATGAAGTGCTTACTTTCAGTTCCTGCCTCTTCTATCTGTATGATGAACACAGACTGGCCACAAGTGGGTATGTTGTCATTGATGTCTTCTACACTAATAGTCAAGTCAGCGCTAGCTGAGTTACCGACACTGTCATCCACGACCAAAGTTACCACGAGGTCTGAATTGCTCAATATTTCTCTGTTAATTCTGGATGCTATGACCAGGTGTCCGTCACTGTTGATGGTGAACAGATCAGCGTTTGTGTCTGAAAAGAGGTTTAGGAGAGAGTTTTGATACAGATTCCTGAAGGTTTAGGAGAGAGTTCTGATACAGATTCCTGAAGGTTTAGGAGAGAGTTCTGATACAGATTCCTGAAGGTTTAGGAGAGAGTTCTGATACAGAATACTGAAGGTTTAGGAGAGAGTTCTGATACAAATTACTGAAGGTTTAGGAGAGAGTTCTGATACAAATTACTGAAGGTTTAGGAGAGAGTTCTGATACAGAATACTGAAGGTTTAGGAGAGAGTTCTGATACAAATTACTGAAGGTTTAGGAGAGAGTTCTGATACAGATTCCTGAAGGTTTAGGAGAGAGTTCTGATACAGAATACTGAAGGTTTAGGAGAGAGTTCTGATACAGATTCCTGAAGGTTTAGGAGAGAGTTCTGATACAGATTCCTGAAGGTTTAGGAGAGAGTTCTGATTCAAATTACTGAAGGTTTAGGAGAGAGTTCTGATACAGATTCCTGAAGGTTTAGGAGAGAGTTCTGATACAGAATACTGAAGGTTTAGGAGAGAGTTCTGATACAGATTCCTGAAGGTTTAGGAGAGAGTTCTGATACAGAAAACTGAAGATTTAGGTGAGAGTTCTGATACAGATTCCTGAAGGTTTAGGAGAGAGTTCTGATACAGAATACTGAAGGTTTAGGAGAGAGTTCTGATACAAATTACTGAAGGTGTAGGAGAGAGTTCTGATACAAATTACTGAAGGTGTTGGACAAGGCGTCAGTACATACTACTGAAGGTGTAGGTGAGGGTGTCAGTACATACTACTGAAGGTGTTGGACATGGCGTCAGTATATACTACTGAGGGTGTAGGAGAGGGTGTCAGTACATACTACTGAAGGTGTTGGACATGGCGTCAGTACATACTACTGATGGTGTAGGAGAGGGCGTCAGTATATACTACTGAGGGTGTAGGAGAGGACGTCAGTACATACTACTGATGGTGTAGGAGAGGACGTCAGTACATACTACTGAGGGTGTAGGAGAGGACGTCAGTACATACTACTGAGGGTGTAGGAGAGGGCGTCAGTACATGCTACTGAGGGTGTAGGAGAGGGCGTCAGCACATACAACTGAGGGTGTAGGTGAGGGCGTCAGTACATACTACTGAGGGTGTAGGAGAGGGCGTCAGTACATACTACTGAGGGTGTTGGAGAGGGCGTCAGTACATACTTCTGAGGGTTTAGGCGAGGGCGTCAGTGCATACTACTGAGGGTGTAGGAGAGGACGTCAGTACATACTACTGAGGGTTTAGGTGAGGGCGTCAGTACATACTACTGATGGTGTAGGAGAGGGCGTCAGTACATACTACTGAGGGTGTAGGAGAGGACGTCAGTACATACTACTGAGGGTGTTGGAGAGGGCGTCAGTACATACTTCTGAGGGTTTAGGCGAGGGCGTCAGTGCATACTACTGAGGGTGTAGGAGAGGACGTCAGTACATACTACTGAGGGTTTAGGTGAGGGCGTCAGTACATACTACTGATGGTGTAGGTGAGGGCGTCAGTACATACTACTGAGGGTGTAGGAGAGGGCGTCAGTACATACTACTGATGGTGTAGGAGAGGGCGTCAGTACATACTACTGAGGGTGTAGGAGAGGATGTTAATACATACTACTGAGGGTGTATGAGAGGGTGTCAATACATACTACTGAGGGTGTAGGAGAGGGCGTCAGTACATACTACTGAGGGTGTAGGAGAGGATGTTAATACATACTACTGAGGGTGTATGAGAGGGTGTCAATACATACTACTGATGGCGTAGGAGAGGACGTCAGAACATACTACTGAGGGTGTAGGAGAGGGTGTCAGTGCATACTACTGATGGCGTAGGAGAGGACGTCAGAACATACTACTGAGGGTGTAGGAGAGGGTGTCAGTACATACTACTGGTGTAGGAGAGGATGCAGGAGAGGAGAGGGCGTCAGTACACACTACTGATGGTGTAGGAGAGGATGTTAATACATACTACTGAGGGTGTAGGAGAGGACGTCAGTACATACTACTGAGGGTGTAGGAGAGGACGTCAGTACATACTACTGATGGTGTAGGTGAGGGCGTCAGTACATACTACTGAGGGTGTAGGAAAGGATGTTAATACATACTACTGATGGTGCAGGAGAGGGCGTCAGTATATACTACTGAGGGTGTAGGAGAGGACGTCAGTACATACTACTGATGGTGTAGGAGAGGACGTCAGTACATACTACTGAGGGTGTAGGAGAGGACGTCAGTACATACTACTGAGGGTGTAGGAGAGGGCGTCAGTACATGCTACTGAGGGTGTAGGAGAGGGCGTCAGTACATACTACTGAGGGTGTAGGAGAGGGCGTCAGTACATACTACTGAGGGTGTAGGAGAGGGCGTCAGTACATACTACTGAGGGTGTTGGAGAGGGCGTCAGTACATACTTCTGAGGGTTTAGGCGAGGGCGTCAGTGCATACTACTGAGGGTGTAGGAGAGGACGTCAGTACATACTACTGAGGGTTTAGGTGAGGGCGTCAGTACATACTACTGAGGGTGTAGGAGAGGGCGTCAGTACATACTACTGAGGGTGTAGGAGAGGACGTCAGTACATACTACTGAGGGTGTTGCAGAGGGCGTCAGTACATACTACTGAGGGTTTAGGCGAGGGCGTCAGTGCATACTACTGAGGGTGTAGGAGAGGACGTCAGTACATACTACTGAGGGTTTAGGTGAGGGCGTCAGTACATACTACTGAGGGTGTAGGAGAGGGCGTCAGTACATACTACTGAGGGTGTAGGAGAGGGCGTCAGTACATACTACTGATGGTGTAGGAGAGGACGTCAGTACATACTACTGAGGGTTTAGGCGAGGGCGTCAGTGCATACTACTGAGGGTGTAGGAGAGGACGTCAGTACATACTACTGAGGGTTTAGGTGAGGGCGTCAGTACATACTACTGATGGTGTAGGAGAGGGCGTCAGTACATACTACTGAGGGTGTAGGAGAGGGCGTCAGTACATACTACTGATGGTGTAGGAGAGGGCGTCAGTACATACTACTGAGGGTGTAGGAGAGGATGTTAATACATACTACTGAGGGTGTATGAGAGGGTGTCAATACATACTACTGAGGGTGTAGGAGAGGGCGTCAGTACATACTACTGAGGGTGTAGGAGAGGATGTTAATACATACTACTGAGGGTGTATGAGAGGGTGTCAATACATACTACTGATGGCGTAGGAGAGGACGTCAGAACATACTACTGAGGGTGTAGGAGAGGGTGTCAGTACATACTACTGATGGCGTAGGAGAGGACGTCAGAACATACTACTGAGGGTGTAGGAGAGGGTGTCAGTACATACTACCGATGGTGTAGGAGAGGATGTCAGTACATACTACTGAGGGTGCAGGAGAGGGCGTCAGTACACACTACTGATGGTGTAGGAGAGGATGTTAATACATACTACTGAGGGTGTAGGAGAGGACGTCAGTACATACTACTGATGGTGTAGGTGAGGGCGTCAGTACACATACTACTGAGGGTGTAGGAAAGGATGTTAATACATACTACTGAGTGGTGTAGGAGAGGGCGTCAGTATATACTACTGAGGGTGTAGGAGAGGACGTCAGTACATACTACTGATGGTGTAGGAGAGGGACGTCAGTACATACTACTGAGGGTGTAGGAGAGGACGTCAGTACATACTACTGAGGGTGTAGGAGAGGGCGTCAGTACATGCTACTGAGGGTGTAGGAGAGGGCGTCAGTACATACTACTGAGGGTGTAGGAGAGGGCGTCAGTATATACTACTGAGGGTGTAGGTGAGGGTGTCAGTACATACTACTGATGGTGTTGGACATGGCGTCAGTATATACTACTGAGGGTGTAGGAGAGGGCGTCAGTACATACTACTGATGGTGTAGGAGAGGGCGTCAGTACATACTACTGAGGGTGTAGGAGAGGATGTTAATACATACTACTGAGGGTGTATGAGAGGGTGTCAATACATACTACTGAGGGTGTAGGAGAGGGCGTCAGTACATACTACTGAGGGTGTAGGAGAGGATGTTAATACATACTACTGAGGGTGTATGAGAGGGTGTCAATACATACTACTGATGGCGTAGGAGAGGACGTCAGAACATACTACTGAGGGTGTAGGAGAGGGTGTCAGTGCATACTACTGATGGCGTAGGAGAGGACGTCAGAACATACTACTGAGGGTGTAGGAGAGGATGTCAGTACATACTACTGAGGGTGCAGGAGAGGGCGTCAGTACACACTACTGATGGTGTAGGAGAGGATGTTAATACATACTACTGAGGGTGTAGGAGAGGACGTCAGTACATACTACTGAGGGTGTAGGAGAGGACGTCAGTACATACTACTGATGGTGTAGGTGAGGGCGTCAGTACATACTACTGAGGGTGTAGGAAAGGATGTTAATACATACTACTGATGGTGCAGGAGAGGGCGTCAGTATATACTACTGAGGGTGTAGGAGAGGACGTCAGTACATACTACTGATGGTGTAGGAGAGGACGTCAGTACATACTACTGAGGGTGTAGGAGAGGACGTCAGTACATACTACTGAGGGTGTAGGAGAGGGCGTCAGTACATGCTACTGAGGGTGTAGGAGAGGGCGTCAGTAAATACTACTGAGGGTGTAGGAGAGGGTGTCAGTACATACTACTGATGGTGTAGGAGAGGGCGTCAGTACATACTACTGAGGGTGTTGGAGAGGGCGTCAGTACATACTTCTGAGGGTTTAGGCGAGGGCGTCAGTGCATACTACTGAGGGTGTAGGAGAGGACGTCGTCAGTACATACTACTGAGGGTTTAGGTGAGGGCGTCAGTACATACTACTGAGGGTGTAGGAGAGGGCGTCAGTACATACTACTGAGGGTGTAGGAGAGGACGTCAGTACATACTACTGAGGGTGTTGCAGAGGGCGTCAGTACATACTACTGAGGGTTTAGGCGAGGGCGTCAGTGCATACTACTGAGGGTGTA